TCGATAATACCACGAGGGAATCCTCGTAGGCGTTTTTATTCAATCCTATTGATCAATTAAGTTCAAGTAAATTGATTGCTACAGGATTATGTTACATTACTATTGGAGCCGTTTCTCTTGGATGTGAGGCTGCCCTTATATCAAAGCTGTTAGCGCAATCCCTTGCGGGATTAAAAATGTGAAACACGATGGATCTAGTGTTACTAATTAAATGGAAATTGTTTTGTTCCATTTCTTTGCAATACATTTGTAGCTAACCGTTTATCTGATGCTTTAGAACTACAGTTTCTCTGTCACGGTCTGTGATGGGCCCAAAGCCTGTCTGTAACGCTCTGTGACGGGGGAATTACCTGTCTGTAACGATCTGTGACGCTGGTATCACCTGTCTGTAACGATCTGTGACGGGCGAATTACCTGTCTGTAACGGTCTGTGACGGAGGAATCACCTGTCTGTAACGGTCTGGAGGGGTGGGGGGTCCAAATTTCTACCCCTAAACACTTCAACACACCTTTCAGATCGTGTTTCACAAAATGTGCTTTCTTACCACTGCTTTTCAAATTCACTACTATAGACAGTGAACTGATGAATAAAGTTAGCACGAAAATGGACAGACTTTTATAGCTATTCTCCCCAACTTCCGACTTCCACCTTTCACAGACAAGCAGCCATCAGCGCACTTCCTTTTTCCATCTTCATGTTTCATGCATATGCTGAAGTACGACTTTCTTCCAATTAAAGAAAAGAAGTTTGCAATTCGATTCGAACTCCAAACGGTACGAGCATACCATAAGGAAATCCTGTTTCTTAGTGAGCACCGAGTTTGTTTCGACTGAGGGTGAGAGTGTTAGTCTTCGCCTAACTCACACTCACATCCACCCTAGAGACATTGAAATTCCAAGTAACATTATATCAGTATTATAAATTCGTTGACTGTAGTGAAAAAGAGCTTTGCCGGATCAGGAAATTTTTGAAAAAGCTGATGACAATCCTTTCTAAGAAAATTGTATTATGTCCATTGTTGAAGAAAAAATTGCCAATGTTAGCTAAATTTCTCACATTCTCAAGCACTTGAGTGCGCCTTGAAATTAGAGAAAAAATAAAAACGAGAAGTATCTTCTTCGACATACTTAGAAGAATTCGAAGACCAATCATATCGACAAAAACTAGAGAGGGAAAAGGATATCAACCGTTTTATGTGTGATTTGGGATGTGATTGCTGATAAGATCAGAAGAATTTCAAAAAAGTATAGATGCAAGATTAGTTTAAGTTGATCTGCACCGCAGAATTTTTACTACGTGATTAATTCATCACTGTCGATTATCCTATTCTTCATCTCTTGTTTTAATTTCTTTTCGAACAAATTTTTACTTGAGTTTATACTGTAAAGATGAGAAGTGATGTATGCACCAAAAAAATCATTTACGTAGACTGCGCAAAAGTTGCTTAGCATGCATATATTTTCTTTCCTTTGTTTTTGCAAAAAACACAATGCGCCTACACAACGTACACTTAACTAATGGTTTCATTTGCGCAAACATTTCAATAAACAATCGATTCATGGTGTACTTTGTTGGTTGTCAACAAGGTCATTTTTTTCTCATTTGAGAGAAAAACAATAGAGTCAATACTGAGATGAAGCGAAACACAATCAAAATGTGTCGTTGATGATACCATAGTAACGGCACACATTTTGAGATCTGTGGGATGTGGGCATGCTAGTCTTTAGTTCAACCATACCGATAATAACCGAACCACACCCACGCCTCATTGTAATTCGATATTGATTTGCGATGGAAGGTATTTTTGTATAAATTGGTTCTAGTGTTCTTCTTGTCAACAGTATTGTTACTTCAAATTGACTCTCCATAAGTGAGACAAATATATTTACATGTATTGATTCACTGTAAGTTTTTTTTTCTTGTTTCATTCTTTCTTCTATTGAACATCACAAGTAATCAAGCGAACGGCAAACGCGACCTCATATTTGTCAATGTATAAAATAACCGGTAGGTTCTTAAAATTCAACCTCGAATATATTGTATTATGTTCAGAACTTGTTATAGTGTCACTTTAACAGGTAAAGTTATGAGGTGGACACTCATTTCGTCCTATTGCTTTTCGTCCCCTTACACTACGTCCCATTCATTTCGTCCCTCACTCATTTTGTCCCTTTTCATTTCGTCCCAAATTCATTTTGTCCCAGTGTCATTTCGTCCCATACACTTGGTCCCAACCTCATTTTGTCCAGTTACACTTTGTCCTACCGGGCAAGTCGTTTCTGACGATTCTACTTAATATACAATGTTATGTACTATGATCTTCTACGTTTAATATATTAACTAAAATGAAGAATGAATAAGTTCAAGAATTTAGTTTCACATTAGCAGCCACACGAGCCAGATCTTGAGGGTGAGGGTCACAGCTTTTGCATCGAAAAATACGTTTTTCATCAGTCAATCGGTGTTGCATGTACACGAACTCACCATGATATACAATCGGATTTTCTCTTTTACTCTTCAAAATTTCAATATCACCCGTTGGTCGTATAGATAGCAACACTTGATTAAATTAGCAGTTATCGGGATTTTTTTTTCGGATTTTTTAATAAATCTATATACGTTTTTAAATAAATCCGGCACTATCTTGAGGGTGAGGGCAAAGGCACTGGTGAGGGTGAGGGTGAGGGCGCAGACGCAAGTGTGGGTGAGAGCGAAGGGGTCAGCAGTCAGTGAGGGTGCACGAAAATCTTGATACAGATAATAAAACCCAATAAATCCCCATTAAATAAATAAATCCTATAGAATAAATAAATCCCAAAAAATATATGTCCCGGTAGCCCCTCGATTAAATAGCAAAGAAGAACAGCTTTACGTGGTGAACAAGATTTGAGTGTGAATTTTTTTCTTTTCTGTTTCTCTTTCGTTAAAGTTAGCTAATCATATCAAAAAAAGTAGGGACAAAGTGTAATGGGACAAAATGAGTTTGGGACCAAGTGTATGGGACGAAATGACACTGGGACAAAATGAATTTGGGACGAAATGAAAAGGGACAAAATGAGTGAGGGACGAAATGAATGGGACGTAGTGTAAGGGGACGAAAAGTAATGGGACGAAATGATAGGGTGCCAGTTATGAAACGTCGAAAGGAAGGGTGTGGGTGTGGGTGGGTGAAGAGACGACGAACACCCACATCCCACACCCACGTACCCACACCCAAACCCACCAACACCCTAAAATCAATTATTTTTTATAGAACCGATTCAAATCGTGGATCTAATTCGAAATAAATCAAATAGATTCATTCATAATCGAGTAAAATCATGGCTTTGATCTGAAACCAATACAATTGAGTTATCGGGGTGTGGTTGTGATTGTAAATGTGTGTGTGGCTCTGGATATAGGTATGGGTAATTTTCTCTCTCCCTACGCCCAAGATACACACCTAAACACAAATAAAATTATGCTAGATTACGATGTATATTTATAATTTAGAGAAGTGCTTTTCGTTCGCATTGGTAATTCTAAAAAACTATGATAACCTAAGCCACGTGTTGGTGTATCTCTTTTATCTATCCTCTTTCTTTTCATTATTGTATGATTGATCTAATTGACGTATGTATTCAAGCAAATATTTGAAGTAGATATCAATGAAAGTTCTAATAGTTATCAACATAAGATGTTCTACTGCTTTGATAAATCATTATTTCATTAATGTAACTTTCGATACAAGTCACTACTTAGACATTACAAACGGGAAAAAGGCAGATCGAAATCCTTTTTTTTGTACTAAAGAGGCAATGCACATTTTGACGCATAAAGACAGAAGTTTTCACTAGTACGTAAAAGTCAGAAAGAAAAATATAGAGAGTGCTAATAACGAATTGATACTATTTTTTCAAAGTTGAAAATCTTTTTTCGAGTAAGAATCGTATGAAGAATTTCTTATTTTCAATTGTAAACTGCAATGTTTCAATTCAAACTGGAGAGATTAAACGTTCCCTTTATACCTGAATGAGAGTCTTAGGCATCTGTTTTGAGAGTGTCCAACTTTTAGTCATCTATCTATATCCTGACTGGCCTGTTTGTAATGCAGTAATGTTACAGTGATAGTACATTTATTGTATAGTCGCATTGATTTATTCCCGATTATTGGATGAAAAAATAAATAAATTGAACTGTGCTAATTTTGCAAATAGATGTTGATGTTGACTATTATCTTAGTTATTCTGTTTAGATCAATGTCTTTTTTTTTGGAGAATTGTTCTTCATCTAATATGTATTATCCGTAGTGAGTGACAATAGTATTGGGAGTATTTCGCCAGCGGATCCTTCAAAATGAAAACTACAAAGAGACATTTGAACTAGTCAAACAAGAGAAAAGAACTTACGTCGAAACGTAGGTAGAAAAAGTCTTTTCAATATTGACTTCCGCTACTGGAATACCGCGACTAGCGACCTCCGAAGCAAAGCCTGCGGCTGGATAGACAATCGCTGATGTTCCTACCTTTAATTAGTCCTGCAGCAATGAATCAAACAGAACAAAAATGTCAACGTACAACTAAAAATAGATCACAGCGACTGAGTTCTTCATCGATTTTCTCCATAACACCAGGCCAGAGTGATTCACCAAACCAGACAATATGAGGACGAACAAGGGATTGACATTGACGACAACTAGGAAGATCTTTTATTGCAATCTCAGTACCACTCTCATTTGGTAATCTAATATATTGAATATAGATCAATGGCAGTTCTACGAAAGAAAGAGAAAAATGTTTACCCTCGATTTCGTAGAGCTTCACAAATTGGACTGTCGTTGTTTTCTTCAATAAAACCACATGATGTACATCGTGTCGTGAAAAGATTACCTGTTGAAAGTTATTTCATTGAAAAAATCATTCAGCCGAATATTTGCTTACCATGCATTTCAATGAGATTACGAGAACCTGCTCGTCGATGAAGTCCTATTCGAACGAAAACCACAGTCAAGATGATGGTATCCTTACCAAAAACAACTGACCATCAACATTTTGAGTTATGATAAAAAATCGTTTTCCTTCTTTCTCAAACCGATTTTCGGCTTCAACCAATGCCAAATGAGCCTAAAAGAAGTCGATCCTATATAGTTAGATAGATAAATACATTTTCGATCTAGAGAAACTTTATTTGGTTGTTTTGTTCGAACAAGCTCTCGTCGATAATGATAGAATTCCCAAACGAGTGATGGTGATCGAGCAAAAGCCGACGGCGTGGCCAAATCCTAATAATCCAAAGCACTAAATCGAATGGATTGTTTCGAATACAATATGAGAACGAACCGTGGCATTGAATTGGCGCCAGAGACCACCATCTCCTCGAAATGTTGGAACATCGGATTCTGCAGAAACTCCTGCACCTGTCAAAACCACTACTGAACGTGCTTTGGAGAACAATTGACGGAACTTGAGGAACTTTGGATCTGTCTATTTAGAAAAGACATGTGGAAAATACCGTTCAATTAAATTTCGACATCCTATACCTTGATAGTAGCCATTTTTGTAATAGAATCTGCACAAAAGATAAATTATTGTGTATTCTCTGAGAAATGTTTGTCTAATATTTGAATGAAGGTTCTACTTCAGAATAGGAATACTTTCACCGTCACAACTTAGTGTTGATGTGTTGCATTAATAGATTTTTTACCGTTTTATATAAGATAAACAATGTGAGTGTTCCTATTCTGCAGTAATACTGTTTACTTCATTTTATCATAATGACGACACGCATTATTTTGACAACATGAATCATATACAACTAGCAATGAAAATTTGTTTCTGCAAACGCTTTTATCGCTTTTTCTTACCATCTAAATTTAATGCAATATTTGCACAAAGTCTACCTTGTCAACTTTTTTATTCTGCACAGAAAGAAAAAGATAAGTCAAATGAGAATGAGAATGATCTATGAAAGATTCATCAAATTCGGCGATTCGACAATAGCCACCTTCTCGAAAATGAGCGTACAAACGGACGTGTTTGAAGCATTTCTCTAATCATATTTATACTTAACGAATAAATTCTTGAAAGAGGGAAATTAACTAAAAGATGTCAGGTTCGTTCGCAATAATACGATCTGAATGGTAATTAAAACTTTTTGAGGAGTAATAACAAGAATTACAAAAACGACATTAATTATGGCGGATATCTGTAAAATAGGCGAACACCTACAAACATCTCGAAAGGAAAGATAGTTCAGATCTATTTATATAGGTAGATAGAACTCGATGAGTTATGTCTACTAACACCTAACTTTGAACAACTCGGAAAGTCGATTCGAATGATGGAAACTAAAATTTATCTACGAACACCAGACCAATGAAAATAAACACTCCTTTTAATCAATTTTGACACAAACACATGTACCATTTTATCGAAACTATGTCTATAAATAATCTACTAACATTTTTTCTA